GTGTGTGCGTGCGTGTGTTTCAGGGAGGAAACAGGACATCATTAAAGTCACTGAGCAGCTCATCGAGGCCATCAGCAACGGAGACTTTGAGAGCTACACGTATGTAACCAGCACTGAGCACGCTCGGGCAGAAGGAATGTTTGTTTCTTTGTTTTTGAATAAAACCATCAAAGCGTTGAGAAATCCCTGACACGAGTGAGCCTCACAGAGGGCGGAGTCACCCTTTAACGTACCTTTGGGCAGGTGAATCAGTGCTTCTGATGGAAACATCTGGAACATCTCCTGACGCTGCCCTCGCTCCTCTCTGAAGCTGGTGCCAGCAGAAATAAATCAGTGATTGAAACTAGCCAATCAGACGTCCTGATCAGTGGCCGGTCTTTAAACGCTGAGAGCGAATCAGCATCCTTTAACCCAACAATACAAACGAGTCGTCTTCTGACCCACGCTCAGCTTTTCCCCAAATGTTACAAACACTTCAGTTACTCTCACTTTCCTGCTCACAGAGCGCTTTGGTGACGTCGGCGTCGCTGTAAACATCACATCGATGTATTTAACTGTGGCTCGGCCTGAATCTCCAAACTGGCCCAAACGATCCGGCCTGGCCGTGATGTTGAAGGCGCCCTGTTTAATGAACTGATACTTCCTGTTTTCTAATCTCAGACATCTTTGATGATTGGCTCGCCAATAAAATCTGTTTTTCTGTGTGTTGATTGAACCGTTAAAGTTTTATAATCGCAACAACAGTCGCCTCAAGGTGCTTTATATTGTAAGGTAGACCCTACAGCAATACATACAGAGAAAAACCCAACAATCATATGAGCAAGCACTTTAGCGATCAAAGCAGGAAACACATTTATGCTAATATGTGTAACAAAGTGTCCTGCAGGTGTTTCAAAGTGACAGATATTTCATCTATGAGTGATCAATAAAGAATAAAAGCTATAAAACAATGAAAGTTTGGGCTGCTGATCCGGGCTTGAAGGTTCACAGAGACGGGGGTCAGAGCTCCGACAGGATCGTGTTGTGCGTTTGCGTGTTGTGCGTGTGCGTGTTGTGCGTGTGGATGGTTTTTTTCACTTGCTCCCTGTTAAACGTGTCTCTGACTCGTCTCAGTAAACGATTCTCTCCCTGCAGTAAAATGTGCGACCCGGCTGTGACGGCGTTCGAGCCCGAGGCGTTGGGGAATCTGGTCGAAGGCCTGGACTTCCACCGCTTTTACTTTGAAAACTGTGAGCTGAAGCAGACTTCCTGTTACACCTTGCTTTGTAAAAAACTCTCAGAGGTCACCTGACCATGTTCACCTGTCCGTCTGTGTCTGCAGTGTGGTCCAAGAACAGCAAACCGGTGCACACCACCATCCTGAACCCTCACATCCACCTGGTGGGCGACGAGGCCGCCTGCATCGCATACGTCAGGGTGACGCAGTACATCGACTCCAACGGGACGCCTCGCACCGCCCAATCAGAGGAGACCAGGGTGTGGCACCGCCGCGACGGGAAGTGGCAGATCGTGCACTTCCACCGCTCAGGCTCCCCCTCCACGCTGAGCAAGTAAGAGCAGGTCAAAGGGCAGCGGGGCGTTTGGGGCAGCTGGGAAAAACCAGCATGATAACGAGCTGCACGGAGAAAACGTGTGAAGAGAGGCAGGATCGGTGAATCTGATCCTCAGCAGACATCAGTGAAGTCATGCACGTGTATTTTCCTCAGCACTTTGTCAACACCAGTTTTCTCCATGCTTAGTATATTTGCTCTTTTTACCAACGACACATTCACTGCAGGTGGTTGGTGCTGAATCATCCCTCATATGAAACGCTGTGAAGCTGTTTCTGCATCACGCCTTCGCTCTGCTTCATGTCGATGATAAATGAATCTGGGTGGAGGTGGAGCTGCTTATTTTAGCCCCACTCGTGTTTGCAGACTGAATCTGAGCCAGACTGTCGTTCCTGAGAGACAAAACCCAGGAACCAACGAACCTGCCGCTGTTACTGATGTATCAGACCTCAGCAGCAGTGCCCTCGTACAGACTGTCCACTCGAGTGCAAAAAGTGCAGTCGAGGGTTCACACCAGGTGCTGATCCACAGTCGGTGTGCTGAGGACAGGAGGACCGCACAGAGGCTCAGCAGGTCTGCTGTGAACAGCAAAATGACCCCAAACCACGACAAGCATCCACCACACACTGCTCAGGAAAACTGAAAGGGACACTTTTCAATCAGAGCACAGCAGCCAGTCGGTTAAACCTCTGATTAGTTCAGTAGTAGAGAGACTGTTAATCAGTTTCAGCTCATGAAATCAACTAGCACAGGCAGTCCAACTCCTCCAGCAAATCAATACATGCCAGTGTCAGAAGGTTTGTGTGTCTCCCAGCACAGTCTGCAGAGCATGGAGGAGACTCCGGCCGTAGGAGGCCATCATCAGGGCCGGTATCAGAACCGAACGAGGATATCCAGAGCTGCACGATGACCTCCAGCAGGCCGCTGGTATGACAAGTTTAGCTGCATGCCCCTGGTACACTTGACATCCTGGTCAGTGGCCTCACCCACTAGCTCGGCCGGGCGCACACAGTCGCCCTCCACCACCTACGATGTACCCTGACCTCCAGCTGGCCGCTGGTGTGAACATCTCTGACCAAACAACCAGACTTCATGAGGATGGCCAGAAGGCCCGACATCCTCTATAGGCCCTGTGCTCACTGCCTGGGAGGCGGAGCCATAGAACAGCAGACTTGGCTGGTCCACCCTGAGCACATGTGACTGATGTGAAAGGGTCTGGAGAAGCTGTGAAGATGCTGCCTGTAGAGCGTGACCAGGCTGGCGGGGGGTCAGTGATGGTCTGAGATCCATCATCTGATCAGGAGCCTGAAGGCGTCAGTAACATGAACGAGAGGCTGCATCATCGCTCACTGTGATTTTCAGGGTGTTTGGGTTCCTGACACGTCCAGGTGTTTCTTGACGTGTTTTTACTGATTTACTCAGCTGATTACATCTGCTGCTGTCTTCAGATCAGCAGATTCGACTGTAACTACAGCGTTACCTTTCAGGGTGGGGGGCTGGTCCGAGTGTGTCTTTGTGTGTCTTTGCTGCTGTCACGTGATGCAGGTAAAATGCGTGTCGTGGACTCGTCACTGTTCAGCAGGTTGAATCGTCTGTGTTGTCAGACATTGTTGATTCAGTCGCTCACAAACACGTTTGGTTTCGTCTCCAGCTAACTTCCAGAGTGAGTGGATCTTTGATGGGGCCACCGTCGCCATGACAGCAGTTTGATTGACAGCAGGCCGGGCCTCTGACACCAACCATTCAGGATTTTGTTTGAGGAGTTTGGAGAGGAGACGACGGGGCCAGAAAGCTTCACTCCAACAAGTGAACTGCATTACCAACCAACCAATCAGCTTCCTCTTCTCAGCTTGTTTGGACTTTGCTTCCGCCACGCCCCCTTGTGATCAGCCAATCAGATTGTAATAATGTTTGGAAACCTTGTATCTCCAGTTTGTTCGAGTTCAGGAGGTTCAAACCTTCAGATGTTTAACAGGACCAACACCTGCACACCACAGCTCCCCCTGTGGACAGAACACGTCACTACTGTGTGTTAGCTTCACCCAGCATGTGGTTACCCTAGTTTAGCACAAACACTGGAAGCAGGGGGAAACTGTTTGCATGGCTCCACCCAAACAGCCCAGTGTCGCCTCCATCTACATGACGTGTTGTAGCTGATCGAGTGTAGATGTAGAAAAAGTTTCCAGCTTTCATTTTTGCTCCTTGTTACGTTTCTCACGGATCTACTGACCCGTTGGCTGCACAGACTTAGCTTTTATAGTGTTCGCGTTCACGCGTTGGTTACCTTTAGATATTAAACAGGAAGTACGAGCCTCGCCTTTAGACGTGTGGGAGATACAAGCTTTCCTGAAACTACAGATATTTACATAAAGGAACAAAAACATATATTATATAGATGTAATGTGATATAATACTATGATCAAGAGCTGCTTTGGTCGCTACAGATTATTTAGATAAATGAACTCGTGACTGAGACTCGAGCTGAGCCACACTGACAACAGCAAACAGACCAATTATATAATATAAACCTGGAAAATCAGGATTCTCTGATTACAGTAAAAAATATATTAATAAAAACACTTTTTTCTTCCCGTACATCAGAAATAAAACTCTTCTTCATAGTTATTATTTTAAAAAGCATCTCATTCCCCCTTTTTTGTTTTATGTTTTTACAACTTTAAGCCTTTGTTTACCGTATTTGCCTCGTACGCTTCCAGAGTTTATACATATATACTAATAGCACAGCTCTTAAACTAGCATGTTAGAAACATGGTGAAGCCCAGTTATTCAGCTAAACCCTCGGGTGACCCAGAGCTCACACATGGATCATTTTAAACTGGTTAGCGGCTAAAGCAGCTCGTGGCCTTCACGATGACGTCGTCTAATGGAGAAACTTTATTTAAACTGTGCGCGCTGCACAGGAACACTCATCTGCTTCCATCGGGCTTGGAGAGCTCTAGAAGCTTCCACCACCCTCTGACCTGTGATCTTCCATGAACAGCCACACCTCTGCTCAGATCAGCCCCACCCCTCCCCCACAGCCACCGCCATCACATATCCTAATGAGGAAGGCCTTAACGAGGCGTGTATCTACCTGCCTGCTCTCCGCTCAGAGCATCATTAGCAGCACAAACTTTGCTGTTCACACTGAGTTTACAAGGTTTAGATTTAGGAGCTGCCTCTTACCTGTGAGGGAACAAGGAAGTAGAGAAGGAAGAAAGGAGTCAAGGGACTAAAAACAAAAACAAAAGAAACCAAGAAAGGAATAAGGAACACACACACACACACAAGCCTGTCCAGCTATCTTAGTGAGGACCTTCATTGACATCAGAATACTTTGTTGATCCCTGAGGGAAATTATTTTTTTGTTACAGTGCTCCATTATAAACAATGGTTTCCCTAGCCCCTGACCCTAACCATTAAAAATGCCTAACCCTAAACTTAACCATAACCTAATTGTAACCCTGACACTAAAACCACATTTTGAGCCTCAGAAAGGCTTCAAACTTGTGAGGACTGTGAGTGTGTGTGTGTCCTCACAAGTGACCGCTGGTTCTCACAAAGATAGCTAGACAGGAACAGACACACAGCCAGACAGGAACAGACACAGACACACACACACACAGACACACAGTCAAACACACAGACACACACACGCACACACACACACAGACACACAGTCACACACACA